AGCCCCTCCTCCCTGACCTCACTCACCTCTTCCTCTTTTCCTTGCTCACTGAGCTCTAAGCGGCAGCCTTCCTTGCTGTTCCTAGAACATAACAACCCTGCCTTTGCTCTCTCCCTCAGATGCCTTATGGCTCATTCCTTCACTGTTTTCAGGTCTTTGCTTAAGTGTCACTTCAGTGAGGCCTTCCCTACCACCCCCTTCACAAAAGTGACTCCTCATAGTCCCCATTCCCTTTTTTATTTTTCCCACAGCACTTCTTATAAACTAACATACCATATATCATATCTGTGTATTGTGTTTACTCTCTGCCTACTCCCATTATAATGTAATCTAAATAAGGGCAGGGATTTTTGTCTATTTTTTTAATTGTTCAAACCTCAGGCACTAGAACAAACTCAGTAAGCATTTGTAGAGTGAATGGGATGTCTTCCACTTTAAATATTTTTAAATTGATTTGAGAGAAAGAGAGCGAGATGCTGATTTGTTGTTCCACTTATTTATGCACTCATTGGTTGCTTCTTGTATGTGCCCTGACTGGGGATTGGACCCACAACCTTGGTGAATGGGGAGGACACTCTAACCAACAGAGCTTACCCGGCCAGGTTGGATGTCTTCCACTTTAGAATGGAATGGAAATGATCCTGAAGGCTCACTAAGCCTTCTAAGATTCAAAACAGTATCTGAGTTAGACCAGCAATGAATACCCCAGTGCCAGCTTGCCTGCAGAGGAGAAAGGAGCCTATAGAGCAACCACCTGTGTTGACTTTCTGCCAAAAAAGTTCTTACTTCTGGGTTAGACCAGTAGATGAGCCTACAGTTACTTGAAGGGTTTCCATTACTCTGCATTTTAGAACCTCAGAAAAGAAAACACTATTGGCAAGATATTAAAAAACAAAACAAAACAGGTATTCTCATGTGTTGCTAGTGGGAGTGAAAATGGGTGTAATCGTTATGAAAACCATTTTGATAAAACTTACTCTACTCGTTAGTCCTACAATTCCATTTCTACAAATCTGTCTTACAAAGATACTCACACATATGTGAAATTACCTGTATTGCAGCATCATTGATGGAAGAAAATACTGGTAACAACCTAAATGTCAAACAAGAGATGTCTTATTTTTTAAAAAATCATGATATATTTATAGACTTGAATAGTATGCATCTGTTAATAAGCCAAGACTGCTTTTTATGTACTTATGTAGAAGAATCACAAACTTTAAAAAACAAAGTGAAAAATAGTGATAGATAAATATATACTTATTTGCCTATATGTATCTAAAATGGCTCTGGAAGGACACACTAGAACCTGTAACAGTGACTGCTTAGTTCTGAGGGACTCAAAGGTTGGAGAACCGTAGGTGAGGAGGTGGCTTGTCTCAGAGAGGGCTATCTTGGATTCTTTGAATTTTGTACCAAATGCATGTATTGCCTATTCAAAATATAAAACATAAAAAAGGGGGGAAATAAAGCAAAGGAATAAATGTACCAGAAGAAAAAATTGGCCAAATAAATTTGTTTCCTTTCTCCCACTTGCTAGAGAGCTATTTTCTAATAGAGGTTGTGAATATGATATACCATCTCAGTAGAATTAGGAACTGTAGAACTGTCAGTACTTCACCCCAGTCCTTTGTTAACACTGAATTTGCCGTTTATTCAAACAGCAAGTTTAGAGTCTTGATTTTTGGTGGTTTACATCAGTCATGATCTTTGATGGTTTGTAAAGGTGGATAATGCAGAGGACTCAAGCGACTTCCTGGGTAACAGAGTTCACGGATCAGTTGCAATGTAATTCTGGGATAGAGAGATGAGTTTAATGGATTGGGGTACAATGGAAGAAGCATGTAACTCTTGCCTGATGGGCCCAGGGAAACCTTGCAGAGGTGACTTTTGAACTGACTCTTAAGTGGGAGTTCAGAAGACAAGAAGAGGAGGAAGCATTGAGAAGCACAGGAAACAGCTTGTTCAGGTTCTGAGGTGTGAAAAAAGCATCTTGCATTCAGGGGAACTCCAGGTGGGGGTTTGGTGCACATAGAAGCTGGGACGGGCTCAAAATTAGTGGGGTGGGCATCGGAATCACCTGGGTCCCACTACCTAAAACTAAAGGAGGAAATCTGGGCTGAACCCAGTAGCAGGCATGTATTTCTAGCAGGCAGGTCAGGGATTATGATGCAAATTGTCCATGAACCAAACTTTGAGAATCTTTGTTGTAGGAGTTGGGTGTAATCTTTCTTAAGGAGTTTCTCATTAAAGGGAGTATGGCATATAGTTTATTTTTAAAAAACAATAAATGAAATATGTAAATAGGAAGAGGAATGAGTTTGTCAGCCCCTAAGTATATATCCAGTGGGCATGTGAAGCATTCAGTAGCAGTGAGATAAACATTCCCAAGTGGGTCATATTTTGCTGTGGTTGTTAAAACACAGTGACACATTTCAATATTGCTTTCATTCTAAGATTAAGTTATACCATCTCATATTAATGAGACATGCTAAGATACTGAAAATTTTACTAGGCAGCCTCATGATGGAGAACACAGACAGGCTCTAGTGTCACATTGAGGGTTCCAGCTGTAAGACCTTAGACAAGTTATTTAACCTGTCAGTGCCTCAGTTTTCTCACCTGTAAAATGGAGATAACGGCACCTAATTCATAGGGTTGCTATGAAGATTCAAAGTGTTTATTATGTCTAAAGCACATAGAATGATACCTGTAACATAATTGTAATAGTAGTGTTAGTTTTTATCATTATTTTATTTAATAAATCCAGAAGTTGCATTCATCTGATGAAAATTCTTGCAAAACATGTTAAAATGTCTTTAAAACATCAAAAATCAATTTTAAATTGGTCAAATATAGTGATGATTTTATCCAGATTAGCGTTCATTCATTTCTTTATCTGATCCTACAAAAAATGTCAATATCATTATTACTGTTATTTAATTTCTAAGAGGCTCACATGTCCAAAACAGGTTGGGAAACATGTTGTAGATGCCAGTGAGAGCCTCTGAGGATGTAAAGATGTGATCAGATTGTGAGGTGGCTATGTGCCGAAGAAAGCCTACTGATAACTAACATTAGAAATTAGGAGCTTTCACTCCACAGAAGTTTCTTAACTTGTGGTTTTCATTCATCTTTATGTCTCTCTTTTTAAAATAACAGTATCCCTATTCTTTTCTACTATGTGTTAATCAAGGTTAATAAATAGTACAGAAGATTGAAAGAGTGGCAAGAAGGATTTCATCAGACTGTGCAATTCTGTGAGGAAAATAAGCTCTAACTCTAGGATTACAAGAAATGAAGAGAACACTGAAAATGAATCATGGAAGGGGCTTCAGGAGAACTTGAAAAATAAAAGTAAGTATTCATCCTTTTATTTTCCCAGTTGCGTTTGATTTTCATGGGATTCTTTGGCCCTGAGATTTTTTTTTATTTTTTTTTTGGCAGGCCCAAGTCAAGCTTTGCTTAACTTGCTAACATATGCAGCAGTTCAAGAAGGTGAAACAAGAAAAGGCACGGGCCGTTTACTCCAGTGACGTGGAACGAGAATAGAATCAAATGCACATTTCATGAGAAGAATGTGTACAAATCTAATAATTTGTCAGAAGTTTTCATAGCTAACGTAATTGGAAGAAAATGTTACCATGTGTGATTGATATATCTTGTTCTTTATATGTCATGAGCAAGATAAAGCCAGTTAACCCTGACTATACAAAAAATGACAACACCATATGAATCATAAAATTCCAGTGATCTGTTTGTAAAGGACTATATCTAAACTTTGATTTCCTAAACTTTCCCTTTTGCCATGTATCATAGATTGTAGTGGTCTGAGTTTCTGTGTTGAGGCAATGTTGCACACCCATAGTTAAAAAAACACACAGCTGGGGTATGAAGGAAAGAGCACTGGACTGCCTCAACCACTGAGTCCTTCCTTCTCCACTGGCCAGCTGCCTACCTTTGGGCTAGCTAAGTTTTCCTTGTCTGCAAAATGGGAAACGTATTGCTTAGGGTCATTTTGAGAATTAGCTGAGATATTCCATGAAATTGCTGGGTACACAGTAGGTGCTCAGTAAATGTTACTTCTTTAGGATATACTCCCACTCACACCCAATGCTCGGTATTGTTTTCTATTTGACGGACTAATGCTACCTGCCTTACAGATTTGTTGCACAGGTCAAGTTAGATAATTATGGAAATAATTAAATAGAACTGTCTTCAAATAAATTAATTGTATTTATTTGGGGTTGGCACATTTATTTGTAAAAATTTGACTATGGCTACATAGCAAATCAATGAAACAAAAAAGATACCTACGTTTTCTCCTTTGGCCTGTCTTACTGTTAACCTTGGGCACGGATGGCCTTTATCAGTTTTTCAAAGCAAGCCTACCAGAAAGGTTTCACTCTGCATCTGTACTGTTTTGTGTCACAGATAGTGTAATGATAAACATCAACTTGCAGTTGATCTTTGTGGCTAGCGCCCTTGCCCAAAATAGACTAAGGACTAAGAAGATCAACTTTGGAACCATCCTGTTCAAGCATAGACAAACACTGAGAGAATAAACAATCCCATCTTGCGAAATACTTAACTCTGTCAAAGACAGATGACTAACAGGAATCCCCTTCAATGTCATAATCGACATGTACACTGTAATTTTTAATATTACTGTTATGTCAGTATGTCAATAGTTCTCATTTTAATTAATTTTTAAATTTTATTTGTTATGTCAATGTATGGGAATTTTTAAAAATCTTGTGAAATTACTGCAGGAAAAAAGATACTTTCTAATTAAGCTTTTACTACATATTGAGGACAGACTTGGTTTTATGCAGTAGATATGTCTGAAAAGTTTCATCTCAATCTCATAATGATGTATTTAATTTGTAAAATGCATTAGCAAAACTCTAAAGGAATGTTTAAAGACTCCATGTTAGATATTATAACTGGTATAATCCCTATGTGTACTTTTTGCTACTTAAATGCTTATTTAACTAAATTCTCTCATGATTAGCATCCAGTGGAAGGTGAAATAAATTCCATTAAGGTGTTATAAATATCCCACTAGTGGAAATATATTTCTCAAGGTCTCAACTACAAATCACATCCCATTAAGTAATTTGGAAAAGTTTGGAAATTTATGCATGCTTTTGTTTTCTCTCCCAGCTTTCCAAACACTTGGCTTCAATGCTACCCTCAGATTTACTTCTGACTTCAGTGAGAGTTATAAACGATCATCTGGGAGAAGCATTTGGCTTCTACTTTCAAGTCTAAAGTTCTCCAGAAATGTTCTTATGAAATGTGAATCTGATTTTCATCACATAGTTTTACCTACATAGCATCATATTTTCCTTCACCAGCAAATACTAAGTATTTTATTTTTAAATAGCACAGCTCTATCTGTATTTGCATGGTACTTTCCAAGTTTCCGAAATAGGCACCAAATCACAGAATCTAGGCAAAAACAAAGGACTTAAGAACTGAAAGATAACTTCTGAGAAAGAGCTTATAACAGAAGTATTTAGTTGTATGCCATGGAGGGTTTTCAAAAAGTTGTATGCCAATCTAACACAGCAGATCAGCTCTCTATTTAAAGAGATACTGTGATATATAATTTGTGAAGTGACAATAAATATGATTGACTCTACACCTTCCTACAAACATTCAGTCAATCCTCCAGACAAAGCTGCAGGTAAGTAACTTTATCCTGTTTTTACAGATGAGGCTCAGAGAGCATGGCTCACACAGTTATACTGCTAGAAGTGGAATTTTTGTTTTGTTTTGTTTAAATCCTAATCTGAGGATATTTTTTCCATTGCTTTTGAGAGAGAGAGAGAGAGAAAGAAAGATCGATGTGACACATCAATTGGCTGCCTACTGCACACACCCGACCAGGGCTGGGGGGTCAAGCCTGCACCCGAGGTACGTGCCCTTGGCCAGAATTGAACCCAGGACCCTTCAGTCCGGAGGCCGACGCTCTAACCACTGAGCCAAACTGGCTAGGGCTAGAAGTAGAAGTTTTGATTGTCAGTGAGTCCTTTGTTTATTTTTTGCTATAGAAATTTAAATTATTTTATTATTACAACCTGATAGAGAATATTTTGTGTCAAATATGCAGAGTACCAAATTATAATTTTAATACATTATTTACAAAAATATAAATGCTAAGGAATGCAAAAGTTTATTTTTAAATACCTGGCAATTTATACAGACACACACACACACACACACACACACACACACACACACACACACGTATCAATGATATGAACTAGTAATAGTGAATGGTTAAGGATGGGTGGCCAAGGCAAGAGAAGACCTAAATACTCTTGTGGATTTTTTGCCATATTTATTATTTTAAAAAATAATTCACCAAAGACATCTCAAGAAAAGAAAACTGCAGACCAATAAATATAGACACAAAAATCTTCAACAAAAGATAAGCAAACATCAAACAAACTAGGAATAGAAGGCAACTTCCTCAACCTGCTAAAGAATAGCTATGAGAAATTCAGAATTCACATCATATTTAAAAGTAAAAGACTGACGCTTTCCAACTAAAATCAGGAAAAGACAAGATTTCCCTTAGTATCATTTCTATTCAACATTGTATTGGATTTTAACCTGGCAATTTAGCAAAGAAGAGGTAAAACTATTTCTATTTGCAGATGACATGATCTTATAAATGGAAAATTTTAAGGACTCTACTAAAAATTATTAGAGCTAATAATAAGGTCAATATTCAAATTCAACAAGGTTATAGGATACAAGGTCAATATACAAAAATCAATTGTATTTCTTTATATTTGCAATGGGCAGTTCAGAAATAGAATTAACAAAACAATCCCATGATAATAACAAAAACAATAAAATACTTAAAAATAAATTTAACAAAAGAAGTATAATTCTTATACTCTGAAAAGTATAAAACATTTTTTAAAGAAATTTTGAAAGATCTAAATAAATGGAAGGACTTTCCACATTCATATGTTGAAAGATACTATTATTAGGATGGCAACATTCCTCAAATTGATCTACAGATTCAACATAATCACTATCAAAATCCCAACTGTCCACTTTGCAGAAATGAACAAACTGTTTTTAAAATTCATATAGAAATTCAAGGAACCCAGAATAGCCAAAACAATCATGAAAAAGAACAAAGTTGGAGGATTTAAATTTACTACAAAATTTCGATAATCAAGACTGTGCAGTGAGTGATCTCAGAGGGAAGGCGGGGAGCAGGGTGTGGGTGGGGAGAGATTAATCAGGGAACTTGCATGTTTATGGGCATGGCCCATGGATGCGGACATTGGTGTGGGGAGGGCCTGGGGGTGGGATGGATGTGGGGNATATTCAACATCATTAGCCATCTGGGAAATGCAAAGCAGAACCACAATGAAGTACCATTTCACACCCACTAGGATGGAAATAATGAAATACAGATAATAACAAGTGTTAGCAAAGATGTAGAAAATTGAAACACTCATACACTGCTGGTGTATGAACCTGAAAGTTTAAAGATAAGAGTTACCATATGACCCAGGAATCCTGCCCCTAAATATATACCCAAGAGAACTGAAAATGTATGTCCACACAAAAACTTGTACATGAATATTCATGGCAGCATTTATCATAATAGCCAAAAAGTAGAAACAACCCAAATATCCATCAACTGGAAAATGTATAAATAAAATATGGTACATCTATAAAATGGGATGTTAGGCCATAAAAAGAAATGAAGTACTGATAAATGTTTCAATGCAGATGAACCTTGAAAACATGCTAAATGAAAGGACTCACAAAAGATCCCAAATTGTATAATTCTGTTTATATGAAATGCCCAGAATAGGCAAATCTATAGAAAGTAGATTGTTGCCTAAAGCTAGGGAGTCTGGCACTGGAGGGTGTTGTAAGTAACTGCTAAAGGGCATAGGACATCTTTTTGGAATTATGAAAATGTTCTAAAATTGATTATGGTGATGATTGTACAACTCTGTGAATATACTAAAAACAACTGAATGTACACTTTAAATGGGTGAATTATATAGTATGTAAAGTATATCCCAATAAAGCTGTTAACAAGAAAGGCAGAAAAAAATAATTTAACTTTATTCAATTAGATGCTTTAAAAATCACTGTGATCATAGCCTTTATATTAGTCATAGGCTGATATAAATGTTCAAATACAAGCAAATAAGTAATAAACTCCATAGAAAATCAGGGAAGAGTTGGTTTACCCTCTAGCTTCATAGCAAGTTTGAAATTATATTTCTGGCAAGAATAAGATTCCTTAACATTTCAGAAGTGAACTGATTTTTTTAAAAGATAATTTATCATTAAATGAAGAAGTCACAACGCAAAATGGAACGGGACAGATGTCAACGACAAATTTTAAAAATAGTTTTTGTCAAATACTATTCTGGATTTCTTAAGGTTAGAAACAGGAAAAGTGTCAAATGAAAAGGTAATCATTTTTTTTTTTTTGAAAGGTCTGGATTTGAACAGAAAACTTTTCTCTAAAACTACAAACCATCCTTATTACATGAAAGCCATAATATAAGAGCCTGAGAAAAAGACTTTTTAATTCATAAGTAAACTGTATCTCTCAGATACACTTAGGAATGGTGTGTTTTTTTAATTGGGGTGACATTAATTAATAAAATTATATAGGTTTCAGGTGTACAATTCTATAGTACATCCTCTGTATATTATATTGTATGTTCCTGACCCCAAGTAAATGAACTGATCTTATTTTAAGGTAAAAAAGGAGAGCTGGAATTATTGAGTGCCAGCTTAATCCAGGGGACTTCACGTACATGATTTTATCTTATCTGCCCACACTCCTGGACAGGACTCCTACTCCCCTTTAACAGCTAAGGAAGAAATTAAGAAACTTTCCTTAGCTCACACAGCTACAGGAATGGCCAGAAAGTGAATGGGAGGGCTCTTCTACCCTTTCCTGGAACCTGCCCTGTGCCGCCTGCTGAGTCACTGTACCTTCATTACCACTGGTGAATCAAGAACCCGAAGACCTGGGGACTTGGAAGGGAAATTACCTGAAGGGTGTGCGAATGTTACTTTGAGGACCCAGAAACAGGACGCCACTCTAGTCCACTCGAGAGAGCTGATGATGGGAGTGGGGTGGAGTTGAAATAGGACTTCCTTACTTTCCACTGTGGAGGAAAGGAGGAAGACACCGAAAAGAAAACCCCAGCGATGCCTTCCAGCTCTAAAGTTTA